GCACAGTTGAGTTCAGAGTTGAAAGAGCAGTCGCTATGAAGTTGCTGGTGAGTGTGCTGCATATAAAAGTCAAAATGTACTACTGAAAATATGGTATTTACTTTTGAATTTCGCATACAGATCATTTTGTTTGCGCTATTTGCTGCTGCCTTGGCAGTGCCGCAGTACGGCGGCGGATATGGCCGTGCCGGCGGTGGCGGCAATCGTGGCGGCTATCATGGCGGCAATCGCGGTGGCTACCATAATCAACATCACAGTCCGCATCACAATCCACATCAGCATCATCATCAACATCATCATCGCCACTAGTTTTGGCACAAATATGCAGCGTTCAAAAGCGGTATTAATAAAAGCATTTCGATACTGTTCAAAGAAAAGAATATTTTGTTTTACAGTGTTAGGTGCACTGCATAAACTGCGTGTAACCTGTATCTTTATGGTACCCTAGTTAATGTTCCTCTTTGCGCTGCATAAATTGCTGCTATCCTGCTCGCACACGGTCTTTGTTGAGCGCGGATTCTCATTCATTGTTTTCAGTTGCGCTTAAAGAAGACCTCGGTGATATTGTGCGTGATCATATTCCCAAACTTCGCCTCGAGTTTGTGTGTTTTTAAGCAGTTTATTTAAATTTAAATGAGTGTAAATTTTCTTGCGACAACTTTTCTGCATTGCCAGTCTATTACTTTTTGATGCTTTACATATTGTATTCTTCTTCTAATATCATGGATACGGTGCGCAGGCACATATGTCGGCCAAGTGGCATTTTAATTTAAGCATGAGAGAGAGCGAGAGATGTTGATTTTGACTGTACTCAATAAATAATCTAGAGTGAGACATGCACACAATAAACATGTTTTGTCCGCTTTGCTTAAGATTTGCCAGTTATTTTCTGACCACAGAAGAAACGCTTAATTGAAAGCTTTATTTCAATTCACAGGCAATGAAATTTCGCGCTCTTTGGGTATATGTTCTGAGTTGGACATAAAACGCGATACTAATTACTGAAAGATTCCCAGCCCCATGTGCAGTGGAAGATTACCAGTAAGAAACTTATTTGTATACTTTATGGGAGTTTAATTGTTTTAGCAAATGGCCCAAAATAATTACGAAAAGTAACCGACTACTAACACATGTTTGTTTGCCTGAGCGCAGCAGCAGCAGCAGTAGAAGCTGATTATAGTATCCTCCATCAGCTTAGTTGACGGCGCCGGGCGGCGGTGGCGGTTGGCCGGCGCACCAGGGCGTGCAGGGTGGCAGCGTGGGACGTGTGGGCGTGTCCCGGGGCGGGCTAGCGCACGCGCTGGCCAACAGCAGTGATAACCACAGCAGCTGCGGGAGCAATTGTGAGAGAGAGAGTTGGTGAGAGTGAAAGCGCTGTCGATTATTTTTTGTTTTTTTTTTTTTTATCAACTTACACAGTACTTAAAATTCATTAGGACTGACGAACTTTTTGGATGCTCTGAAAATTTCAAGAGCAGTCTGCTTACTTTTATATGCACCCCACTGACTAGAAGCTTATCAGCAAATGAGAATGTTTAGCAATTTAAAGGAAACAAATAATAACAATAACAAAATTCTCTACACAAAAAGTTTATACAAATTGAAGAATTTAGATAAGTTTATTTAATAATATTTTATTTCTTTGGTTCGAAGGAATTACGTTGTAATATATTGCACAAAGAATATTTGTCGAAAAATTTTGATTTCCCTTTATATTCCACAAGTGACTAGAATAATAATATTTAGTAATATTTTAAGACAATATGCATATATAACTTGTTACAGTTCAAATTATAAATCTTATCTAAATAGTTGGAATAATACTTCAAAATAGGCTTTGAACAAATTTGAATAAATATTTTCTACATAAATTTTTTTATTTCAACCATAACGTCAGTTCTGAAAAATAAAGTTTATAATTAAAATTTGTAAATATACAATTGATTCCACTGTAGAGTGCTGTCAATTCCCAATAGCCGACTACTTAAAGTCCGCATCTTTCGAAATTGTTTGTACATATTGTTTATTGGGCAAGGTCAATTTCCAGCCGCACTTTAATGGGTCATGTGTGTCGTATTGTATACAATCATTGCTCTGTTCTCCGATTTTCCCGTCGCTTTTATTTCTTATTTTTATTTTGTTTGGCTTACTGCGCAATTCTTAAATGTCACAGCTATCTGACCCAATAATCAGACAACTTAATTGCAATTGCATTTGTAAAATATTTTCTGCACACTTTGCCAGTCGGTTTGTTACCTTTCCCATGCATTCCAAAGGGAGAGCTTCCCATTCGGCCACCTTCTGCCGGCTGAGAGAAATGCACCCTCTACTCAACCTACATATGTAAATGAGGCTTAGATATTTTAGGGGCTCTTGTTTGTTGGGGTAAGTGTTAGGTGTTGCAGTTTCAAGGGATATGTTTACAGAGGAAAGTGTAGCTAATATACCAGTTGCTAACGAAAATAGAACTGTTGCTAGTAAGCTAACTGGAAATTGTAAAAACTATCCTCAAAGATGTTTAGAATATTTGCGCAATTGTTAATCGGCGAATGCGAAATACTCCGTTTCTGTTTGAAGTTTAAAGCCAATATCGAAACTATGAAACTATTGAGCTATAACTGATATTAACTTTAATATAAAATATATATTAATTGTCGCTATTTATCTGCTAAGAACTTAGGTGCATGCAATGAACAATTTGATAATATTTTTAATTTTAAAAATGTTAAAATGTTTTATTAATTGCACTATAATTGTTCACATAGTGTTGTTTCGCTTTGTGCAGCAAAAAAAGTAACAAATACAAAGCCTTAGGCTTAAGGTTTCTAATACATACCGATTCCCTATTATAAAACTAGTTACTGGGCAGACTTCCCACGCAAAGGTATTGACTCTTAAGTGACTTAAGCCAGAATTGGTTAGCTGTGCTGTTTTATCGCTTGGCATTGCTTCAATCACAAGCTTTTTTTTTAACAAGCTCTTCACTCTAAACTAAATAAAGCAAATGTTTTTTCTTGCTTTTTTTCTGTGTGTCGCTTCCAAAAGTTCGAGTCTCGAGCAAGGCAGAGCCGGAAATTTATTTGTGCGGCCATTGCAAGTGGTAAATAAAAAAGCAGCAACTGCTTAAGTGGCAGTTTCGGGCACATACCCAATGGCCATTTTCCAACCTTTGCCCTTTGCCCCACGACGCCTTTGCTGCCTTCCAGTGCATTGCCTTAAAAATGCAGCCAAGTGCAAAGGCCACCTGGCAGCATCTCTTGGCCAAATTGTTGCCGTTGCTGCTATTGTTTTTGCCGGCATATCTGTGGGCTTCCGGTTCGTCACGCGCACACACATACGCACACATGCTGCCACGCCCACTCGCCACAATTTGGATGTGGGCGAGGCGAGCAATGTGCAGCCATTGAGCGCAAATGTGCCAAATAATGACTTGCAGGCGAGTGCAATTTATATGATAAGCAACAAAAATAAATTGCAGGCAATTCATTTTACTTAAATGCAGCAGCAACAACAATAACAACAACAACACGCGGCAATGAGCTGCTGCAGCGTTGGCAACTTTCACACACACACACACATTCGCCCACACACCTGCAGCTCAGGTAACGTGTTGTATATCATTTGAAAATTTTGTGCTTGCCTGGCAACTGTGTTCATTTATTTTGAGCCTGCCTAATGAAGCCCCAGCGATATGACAAATGCAAACAGCAAAATATTTCAAATTTAATTTGTCGATTTGCGGACGATTTGCCAAGTGTTGCATAGTTTTAGGCTTAACTTTTGACACACGAAAATCATTGCTTGAACTATGCATATTTGTTATTTGGCCTGCTTTCAGAAGTTTTTCAAATATATGATTTTGAACTCGTTTCCATGAAATCCATAAAAATAGTTATTGAAATTCGGCTTATTTTGAACACATATCAAAGCATATGAGAGCTAGAGACACCAAATTTGGTATTTAGACTCTCGTAAGTACACAGTCTTATGAATGTTTTTTGTTACATCCCCCGGTCTACGCAGAATTTTATTAACACTCGTTTGAAAGCCACATTTATGTGCAGATGTTTAAAGTCTCATTTCCTATAGCAGCTCGGCTTTAGGATTAGGGTATCTCTGAGTCTAGCACAACCGACTAGAACACTCTTATAGTTTACTCACTATAAATGTTTTTTGGACGAGTTGTACATCAGTTATACATATATTACAATTAACTCAGTTTGAGTTCAAGTATAAGGTTAATCCGAAATTAAAAAAAAATATATATATATATATATATATATATATATATATATATATATATATATGATTAAAAAAAACATATTTACACTTAATTGATTCTCAGAATCAAATTGGGAACTTCCCATTTATTTTCTACTAAGAGTCCAAAGATTTTGAGTGGCGTCTTTAGACAGATAAGCGTCAAGACCAAATAAATAATGGGAAAGAACTGTGAGTCGAACTAAATATGCCTTTAAAAAGGTTTTACCAATATTAAACAATAAAAAAAAAAAAATGGTAAGCAATGAAATTTGTTTGAGAACAAGAAATCTGAACTCTTTGCAATTCCTATTTAACTGTACTTTAATTAAGTTTGTCAACTTTTTTGTCTAATAGTTGAATCTCTGCCAGGTTTTATCACAGCTGACAAGTTAGTTTTGCCCAAAAACAGATTTAACTGGATACAACGACCTGATCCTAACATGTTGTCACGATCAAGACAAAGCATATTACAAATGGAATCTTTCATATATAATACCCTCTCAAATGTGTGCCAAAATAAAGCATATTTCATATGTAATCTAGTAAATGATAAGACATTTTCGAAGGCTCAGACAATTGAGAATTAATTTGTTTTTTTCCGCTTTTTGTTTTGATTTTGAAATCGTTGCCACGTGAATCTCTCTCTCTCTCTCTCTCTCTCGATTGCTGGGTATAAAAGGGCCCACCAATTGATGCTGCACAGTTAGAACTTATTTGAAAGTGCTGCAGCTAAATCAAAAATCAAAATGAAATTCTTCGTAAGTTCGCTTGAAGATCCTTAAATTGAGCTCAAGATCTTATGGCCTAGTATTGTTTACATTTAAAGATCGTATTCTTCGCCCTGATCGTCGCTGTTTTGGCCCAACACGGTAACGGTGGTTATGGTCAGCAAGGTTTCGGCTCGGGTGGATTTGGTGGACACGAAAATGGATATGGCCAGCAAGGATTCGGTGGACACGGCCAGCAAGGATTCGGTGGACACGGCCAGCAAGGATTCGGTGGACACGGCCAGCAAGGATTCGGTGGACACGGCCAGCAAGGATTCGGTGGACATGGCCAGGAGGGCTTCGGTGGAAATCACGGTCACGGTTTCAATCAGCACCATGGTGGCCATGGACACGGCAGACATTATTAGGCCGATTGAATCAATAAAGATGATAACATTATCTAAATTATGGTATTTATTGTGTTTTGTTGTTGTGTAATTATCACCAGAATTCTTTAAAATGGGAAAAACATAGCTTCTCGTATAGCTCGCGTAAATTAAGTTTGTGTTTTGCAAATTTTAGAACTTGAACTGTTTCCTGTTGTCTTGTTGTCTTCGCACGACTCATGCATTATTTGGGTTGCTTACTATAACCTTTACTAATAAATAATAGTATAAATTACAAAAACAATAAATTGGTACTGGCTAATATTTTCTTATTATGCCATGACTATGCTTCAATCGACCTTTTGCAATTTGTGCCTTGATTGTGCAATTGGTAGTATAAGATATTGAAAGACGATCCCCGGTCGCGCTACAGCGCTGCGAACGTAGCTAAAGGCAAAAACAGCATACTTCGCTGACGACATGCAAATTGAAACCGTTTTTTTGGTAGTTGTTAGAGTTGGGGACTTGCTGGCATTTTGCAAGCTGTTTAATGCTCTTACAACCCTACACCTGTGCGCGCGTGTGTGTCTGTGTGTGTGTGCGTATGTGTGTGTGTGTGTGTGTGTGCGTGTGTTTGGACCAGGTCGAATTGCTGTGCTGTGCCTCCGGGGGCAAGGCTCGTGTTGCTAATGAGCCGACAGCGTTAGCTAATTGAGCGTGTCCGAAGCTACAAACGAAATTAATGTGAAAATTGATGCCCCGATGCGACGACCCTCAAAACTTTTGCATTTGCAAGAGACAGAGATAGCGAGTGAAAGAGAGAGAGAGAGGGTGAGAGAAGTCAGAGAGGGATAGAGAGAGGGAGAGAGAGAGAGAGCAATAAACATGCCACTTTAAATGTTACCAACTGCAGCAGCTACAACTACAAAGTTTACAGCAGTGCAACAAATCCAATTGTCCAAGCCGTATTCATATGCAAAATTAATGCCAAACTCGCGCAGGTCTCTCGAGCGACAACTGCAGACATTGCCCGGGTACGGGAATCTCTGCAGCTAGAGAGTAGCAATACAAAGAAAAAAAATAAAATACATGACAAAACAATGCGAACAACTGCTAGATCGAAACTGACTTTAACTCTTATTAACCTGTTCTAAAAGTGTATAGAGAAGAATTGGTATATATTTATATATATTTGATTTGATTGAATTAAGAAAGTTTTATATATTTTGCTTGGGTTTAATTAAAGAAATAATCAATTAAACCAGATAGATATGGTATATACATGAGATTCTGTATAAATATATTGTACTTATCAGCTTAAATATTGGAACTATCCACAAATGATCAACATTTGTATTACTAAAAAGTTCTAATCTTGAAACATAAACAAAAATCTATTTAATTGAGGCATATATACAAAATCTGTTTAATTATTTCGAAAAATTCTAGAGCCTATTTTATTGCAACTCTTTGGCTCTGCGTGCAAATATTAATTTCTTTTTAAGTTAATTTTTGCTTTTCATTTCAGATCCTGACACATAAATCCGATGGGTGAGTTCAGTTCTTTATTAAAATAAACCAATAAACAGCAATTGGCTTTAAAGGAATAGGCTTAATATTTTCAATTAAATTTAGCAATCTTTTGTTAAAAAAAAAGTATTTTTATATATGAAGTAAGAAACCTTTTCTCAACATACAAAAATTTGTTAAATGTTTTTGTAATATTCAGCTCTTTCTCTCTCTCTCTCTTTATCTTCCCCTCTCTCTCTCTCCCTCGTCCATCCTCTCTCTCTCTCTCTCTCTCTCGCTCTTTCTATAGACCTCATTGTAAAGCTGTTTATGCCCATTGTCATGCCCTGGCAAAAAGCGCAGCACATCCGTTGACCCGACAGCTTCAGCACAGTCCGTCCGTTCCGCATCCCTTCATCCTGCACGACTCCTTTTTGAGTGTCCTTCATTGTTGAAAGCTGAACCTTGGGAGCAATCAGTGGATTATACGCTGCTTTACAAGAGATGTGCTGCTGGCAGTTGGCAGTCACTGCACTTGAGTCTGCTTCCCCCAACGCCTCTCTCCCTATCTGTATGTGTTAGGCTCTGAAAGAGAGAGAGAGAGAGAGAGCACAGAGTTCGCGTTGTATGCAACACTTTTTTGCATTCATTGTTCGTTAAGAGTTATGCGAGTGTGTGCGTGTGTATGTGTGTATGTGTGGCTATGGGGTTGTGGGGTTGTATGGGTGTGTTGTAACATAAATTTAACTGCAAGCGCATGGAGCGTGTGACAAGGCCACAGGAATTCAAAACAAAAGTTGCAACAAATACCAAACACGCCATAAAGACAACAACAACAACAACAGCTACCAACAAATAGACATAAATTGCAAGCTGGCCACGCTCTCCTACTCTCTTTGCTACTCTCTCCTTCTCTCTCCATTGCGCTCTCTTCTGCCCATGTTCCGTACCTCTGCCACCCTGTGTGGCGAAAAGAATGACAGGAAACCGGATGTGAGTGCATGCCTTTTGTGCATGCAACGAATTATTCAGTTGACATACAGGATGTGTGCTTTGTTGTTGTTGTTGTTGTTTTTGCTGTTGTTGCTGTTGTTGCTGCTGCTACTGACTGCCTGCCCGCCTGTCTGCCCTCCCCTCTCCTCCACGCCTGCCTATCCGCTCAGCTGACTCGCCCGCCTGGCCACTTGAAGGACAGCCCTGCTCTCTCTGGACCCTTTGCTAATTTCATAAATTACATAATTTTTGGCAAACTGAAAAGTCCGATTAAGTAGACAATTCAAGAGAGTCAGGTGGAAAATTCATTGTCTAGGGTTTATCTTTAATTTCTTATATTATATTATTATTTATTTCTTATTTCTTATATATTATAAAGGTAATTCCAAAAATGGTTTACTCTCATAAACAAGTCAAATTATTCTACAGAAACTCTTTACCTTTTGAGCTGGTATCGCCAAATTATCGCTGTGGTACATTTTATTGCTAGTTGAAAAATCAACTTCTAAAGTTTTAATTTTTCAATTTTTATATTCTTTACCTTTTGACTTATTCGTACGCTCTATTTGCGCTATCGCCGAATTAACGCTTGAATGAGCCAAGGTCGAAATAAATATTTTTGGCATTTGTAAATTGACAAACTATTTTCAAAAGTTATAGTTCTTTAAGTGGTATAATTATACAGAAATTGTTTACGTTGGCCGTTTTGACTTAACTTCGCCAAATTATCGCTTGGGTGAGCCAAAGGCGAAAAGCGATCTTCCAAAGTTGTAATTCTTTAATTCTTATAATTCTATTCGAGTTTAATATTTCTATAAAAACTGTTTACGTTTTGAACTCAAAAACTCGTTCGCTCTAATTTGTTTAGAATTTGTGGCCAAATTATCGCTTGCACGTAAGAAAAGGGAAATAAGTATTTTTTCTATTTTTATACTTATTTCGGCCTAACAATTGAGTCGCAGCAATAACACATTAGCATATTTGCAGGGTATCAAATATGCAAACATTATTTACAGAGCATTATAGAGTTGAGTTGACTTTTTTCGCTGCTTTGATTGTTATTACCTTCGCCGCATTCTATGATGGCGTGCTTTATGATTATTGTTATTACACCCATGTAAGTCTGTCATTTGAGGGCCACACACGCACACACATCAGCCACACACACACACATACAAACCGCACACTCGCACACTGACAGGCATTTTTGAGGCAATTTTTCAATTTTATGTAGCCAACTCATAAATAAAACCTGGTCGAGCATTTCGGTGTAATCAAAAAGTGCGTGCTAACTAAATTGTTATTGCTTTCAAATGTCACGTATCATTATCATAATTTTTTCGCTTGACATTTTTAAGTAGCTGCCATAAATGTTTATAACTTTTACACACACACACACACACACACACACACACACACACACGTTTGGAGTTTCTATTAACCCTGCGTTGCCTCTGTCCTTGTGTGGCCTCTTTGCATTATTGGACCCCAGGGAAGCGCCAAAGGGACGGGGCGGGGCCTCAGGCACAACACATACACACGTAGACACCTTGCCTTTCATATTCATAATTTATGGCTGTATTTGCCGACTGCCTTTTATTATTGTTGTTGACGAGTGCGATAAGGCCGAGGAGCCTGCCAGGCGTTTGGGTTTCTTGAAGCGTCGAAGGACCTCTAAACGTTGCCAATGTCGCTTTTCGTTAACTTGCAATTATCATGAAAACATTTTTAATAACAATCTGCTGAACGTCGACACGCAGGGAAATGCTTCAACATTTCGCAGTAAAACCGATGTTGCTTTGGCAAACGAAATTTGTGAGATATACGAAATGAATTCGAATGAATGAAGGAATTTTAGAATAATTTACATAACTATACAAACATTTTTTTATTAAAATGATTTTTATTGAAGAACTTTAGCTATATATCATTACATAGCATTTAAGAACTTTGAATATTTTTAAAATGATTAGAATTCCCTTTTTTTAAGACTTTTATAGTGAATAGTAAAGAACATTTTGGCATATTTATCGTTATGTTATCATAATTATTTCTTAAATGATGTACCCATATAAACAGAATATTATTTGTAGCCATTTTGATTTCTTGAGGCTTACGCACAATAACAATAATAATATCGTTGACAACAAAGAAGACGAAAACAAAATTATAAACATAAAGTATTTTGTATTATGTGAAAATCAAATTTCGAATAAATGAATTTACAAATGCTGTCGTCGACGCGACTGAGCCAACTAGATAAAGCGACATCGAGAGAGCGAGAGAGAGAGAGAGAGAGAGAGAGAGGTTGACAAAGGGCCAAAAACAACAAATATGAGAAATTATTTTGCCAACATATTGTTGTTGTTGTTGTGCGCAATATAATTTGCATAATTTTATTGCATACATTTTCGGTGGCATAATGAGTCTAGACATTTTGTTTCAATTTATGAAATTGTTATTTTATGCAATATGTTTGTGATTAGTTGACTTTTGCATAAATATGCATAAATATTGCTATTGGGCGTGCTTGGCCAGAATATAATATATTTA